TCCAACAACAATCCACCCTTACGAATATCATAGCCCATTTTTTTTCTTTTCTTTTTTTTACAAATACCATCAAGTTTAACTTGCTTATTCTTTCAGTGTGTAAATTTACAGATCATTAAACAATCATAGTTATACCAATAATTTTCAATTATTATACAGTTATTATTAACTGAAAAGTTGTTTGTTTTTTGTTGTCTGAAATTATCCTTACCCAGAAAAGGACATTTGAAACTAGCGTGGGAGAAAGGGGTGGAAAACATATCGTTAGAAGAATTAACTTTGAAATGGGGAGGGTCAAGGGGGAAGAGAATAGAGGAGCGGCCTCATATGCCTCCAATTACTGTTTCTCATCCTTCCTCTTCCCAGCCCATACCCGTCCTTTATACTCGGGTTATTTCTTCTTATCGCTTTTCTCGATGATGTACCCCCTGTCTCAGTTTGGGTGGACTGGTTGATCAATTTGGAGAAGTCCTTCCTCAGACCGACTCAATATCTCGTCCAATTGGGAGTCTTTTTCGACATTCATATCAGTCAGGCCCAACCTTCTCTATGAGAGTCTACCACTTTCCAGTTCCAAGCTGATGGGGTGTTTGACCATGCAGGCACCATGCTGAATGAGTTCCACACAATAACCATTCAGTTACAGAGTAGGGCAATGGTGTTCTGTGAGCATAGATGACATGATTTCCTCCTGTTTGCAACAACCAATGACAACGGAATGAGATGTCAGAATGCAGGTCACCCCTTTGATTGGGAGCCCTCATCCTACCCTTGTGTGGATGTCGGTACCCTGTGGACAGATTTTGGATTTAGAGTGAACCGATCAACGTAAGTCCTTGCACAAGTTTTGGGTTGTCTATCTTCCTTTCTTGATTTTCTCCATCTGTGTTGTGGGTCTCGGCGATGGTACATGGGATTATTCAGATTCTGTCCTTGACTATCCTTCGTCCTCTCTTCTTACGGGGATGTTATTGCCATTTGGATGATCCTGGCCTGTTTCACAGGCAGATTTTGGGTGTAGTTGACTTACCAAGGACGGTACTCTATGCCCTAGCCACTCTACACCTAGGGGCGCATCCTTTGTTTACCCACCTTTCTCACTGGAGGATTGAATTACAGTATATTTCTGTGGTTAGGATCACTTTCCTGCCACATTCTCTCTCACTTGGATGTACTCCCTCTCATTTTCCGCCCTTATATCTTACACATTCCACAGTTAGGCAAAGAGTATACCTGGCTCAGAAGTGGTGTGGTTTCCCCTTTTGTGACCTTTGAATTTCTCATTTCCAGGGGTATCCTTCAGATGCCTTTGGGAGTACTTCTATCATTCCCTTGCACCAGTTCCTCCTCCTTATCAATGTGGGGTTCTAGCTAATCTTGAGAGAGGAGGTATGTACCATATCGGTCGTTATAATTTTTTTATACTGAATATGTATTTCCGATAGGTACTTCCCTCTGTTTACACTTCCCACCCTTCCTCCCTACATTTTTCCAGTGCTGACATCTTCTGCCAAACTTCAAAGTGATAGTTCAGTGGAGGAGTGTAGAGGGAGTCACATGCATCATGTGAGCATGTCATCCTCCTATTGGTAAAGAGGTGATGCATGATGATTTGCATGAGAGACGTGTTGGAATCTTGTAATTCCAATAGGGGGAAGCGAAAGGTTTGTGACATGTGTAATGAAAAAGTTTGCATATAGAGGGCAGCACTGAAGTAGAATAGCTAATCTTGTAAGAGGAGGTAAGTACCTATCGGAAATACATTTTCAGTATAGGAAAATTATAGCTTTTAGAACACAAAAGATATGTCAACAACTAGAATAGAATGCCCCAAAACTACTGTAAGTTATTTGGCTTTTCAACTACTCTGTAAATCAGTTACAAAAGTTACATTACTGCTTAGAACAACATCTTTAGTCAAAAACAAGATTGAGCTCTCCATGCAACTTATCAGATCTGAGCTCTAAAATATAACCGACAATCTCCAATTTTATATAACTTAGAACATGCTCTTTCTCTTGGTTATAAACATATCCAATAGCAATGTTAAAGCGAATTATAGATGTTTCTTAAAAGACAGTGGACATGGGAGGTGCTTGTCATGTGAGTTGAATACAAATAGTGATATCTCAGTAAAGCAAAAAGATAAGAGGTTGAAATTTTCTATTTTGACTTGATAATTTCAATAGTATGTGTTTCTAATTGGTTGAACAATCTGAAGCTCTTATAAGGAAAGAGAAAATAATCTATAAATGAGAACTCAGAGTGCCTCTGCATCATGTGACTTGAGAGTTGCAGACTGAGAATTTATTGTAAATAATTCCTTTTGAAATTAGAAAATTAAAAACTTAGATAATATAAAACTTGGCTTATCAACTATATTTTGATGCCAAGTTTATTAACGTACATTGATAATCAAATAGTTTAATTAAATTTTGAATGCAACTCTGTAAAAAGGTCATGACATTCCCATTTTGACCCTCTGGGGTTTCGCTAGGTAGTAGATAGGGACAGTGGGAATCTTGTTAATCCATTCATGCCAACCAACATTAATTGGCTAGCTAAGTTTGTACTGAGGCAGTGAATCTTATTTTAATTGCCCAGATACTGCATGGTCATTAATACATTTTGGCCACAGCTGTTCCACAACAATATAAAATAACATTTGCATTAATAATTTGTTTGTTTGTTTTTGTTTGGGGGGATACATAATAATTAGTTTTTTAAATACATAGACTATTTCATGCTGAATTTTTATCAGACTAATGTCATTTTTGTTCCTTATTTCACATAATAATTGATTAGGTAAATACATAGGCTCCTTCATGTTCAAATATATCAAAGTAACATTGTTTTCATGACTTAATTTGACATATTATTTAGTAATAGTTAGAAAATGACACTTTAAATAACTTTGTTGATCTGTTTATTCAGATACACAAGTTTAATCAACCACATATGATGCATATTTATTGACAGTAACTTCTATATTGTGATAATCGAAGGCGATGCCTGCATGTAGTTACCTTATCTCCACAAAAACGAAAATTTGTGGTTATGATTTTGCAGAAGGAAAGTGCAGTGATTTGTGGCAGGTGAAATAAAAGAAACAACACATGATGTTGAAGCCTACACAAATAAAAATAAATCATTTTATTTATTAAAGCACATAAGCAGATGAGAAAAAAAAATAACAAGTAAGAAAATGACAAAAGTAGGACTAAATTAATTAATGGTATTTGACTGCTCCCATCACAATTTATTTGTTGGTAAAAGAGTAGCCCAAGAATTGGCAGTTGGTGGTATTGACTACCTGTCTTCCCTCTAGTCTATCACTGCTAAATTAGGGATGGCTAAATTTAGATAGCCCTCATGTAGTTTGCTCAAAATTCAAAACAAACTCATCACAATCAGAAGGTATAAGCACATTGAGACTAAGAAGTGACTTTCACAGGAAGTTGGCTGTCATAAAAAATTAACTGCTCTTTTCACTCTCAATTCAAATTCTTTCCAAAAGCTGCATATCACAAAGCATATTTTTCTTGCAGCTGACCAATCAAAAAAGGGCAGCTGTATGGTATTCCTGAGTCAGAATATCAAGAAGGACACAGGGCAGCTATCCCATGAAAAGTAAATATAATCCTGGATTGGTCAAGCTACAAAAAAGCAATACCTCAGGTGGAACTTATCAAGTGACCACTACCAATTTTAAAGTGTTCCAGAATCAGAACTTAGAAAGATTTAGGAATTTTGCTTTTAATAAATACTGCTATTTGGAGAGAAAGATATATAGTGTCTGCATATTACAATGTTATTCTATAATTTAGTGCTTTATTAACCTATCAGACCCTGAAAGTGTCTGACTTGTACTCATTGCATAACGTAGTTTGATGAGTTGTACCCATGTAGAGAACTTTCACCACGCATTTCTCTTCTCAACTCCATTTACTCATGATTTGTGCTTCTAATAGGTTCCTTTTGTCTATAAATCAGGGATTTTTATACTGAATTAGAGAATTTGGAAACCTTAGCTAAAAGTGTGGAACTAGTAGCAGTGTGAAAGAGTGCACATGTAAATGTCTTTTTGCATAATGTATATGGCTAGGGCAGTTTTCTTATTCATTAATTCATATCAGTTGTACTGAAAATTTTTTAAATCCATTATCACTATGAAAGATGATACTGTTTTTTTTATACGAAGGCTAGTTTTTATTATAAAAATTGTTAATTTAATACACAAATTTTAGTCAGGGAAAAACCTGTAAATTTTGATTCTAACTGCCTGAAGAAACCCTGCTAGTTGCAAGTTAAAGATGATTGATTAAAGGAAAATAATTTAGTTAATTTATTTCTCTGATTATGTATAGAATATCAATTTTTTTGTATTGTAATACTTATTCAGAACTTAATATATTAGTAAATAACACATGTTGTTATTGCATTGTATGTAATTTTTCTTATGCATTTAGTTGTTCTTGTTTAATGTTCCATTATACAGTTGATTGTAGAGGTTAAAGAGAGATACTAAGATTTTTAAATTTCAGACCTGTTTCAATTAATGTTTAAGAAAAATTTCTGTTTGCATAAAATTCATTTGGATTGAAATGAGTATGATATTGTCTAGGAATGTGCTACAGTACACTTGAACTCAAATTTTGGTTTGCAGTCTATATTGGTAGATTGATGAACTTAAAGAACACAGTATGAAAGTAAAAGGTTGAGGAAACTTTTGATTGTGATTTTAAATGAGGTGGGAAAAATGAAAACCTAGCATTCACACTTACACTGAAACTTTAAGTATGACTTTCTTGTTAAATCGATTGTATGGGTTAAAGTTTGAACTATGCCTACATTTTACTTTAGTTGATTTTTGAGGTAGTGTTAAAACAATTTTAGTGTGCTTTATTTCTATTAAGAGGCAAAATTAGCCATTAAATTTTTGTTTTTAAGTTGATTTTCAGAAAAATGTTAATTTTTAACATCTGTTCCTTTTATTGAAGGAAGACTTTGAGAACTATGGAGTTTTGATTCGAGTGAAGTACAGAGATACTGAGGAATTGAAAGAGCTGACACCATACCATCAGAGTGGAGGAGAACGAAGTGTTGCTACAGTTCTCTACATGATGGCCCTGCAAGAGATGACTAAAGTTCCTTTTCGCTGTGTGGATGAAATCAACCAGGTTGCTACAATATATATCCTCTCAGTTTCTTTACTTACAGGCTTTGAAATTCAGATTTTATAAGCTTTATAGTCATTGGTTATTTATTTAACTTTAACACTTACCTAACACCATATAAAGGGTTATTTTGTTTGTTTGGTTGTTGTTGTTTTCTTAAACACAATAGGCAATTTGTGCTGTGCTCCCCATGGATATCAAAACCTAATTTTAAGCATCATAAGCCTTCAGACTTACAGCTGAGTCAGTGGGGGAGCATAAAGAGTTATATCAGGAGTTACATAAACTTTACCATGTCATAATAAATTGTGAAAAAAATGTTAAATCTGCATTTTAGTATTTCTGCCTAGTTACTTATTTTTTAACACATCTTGTTTTATGAGATGCATCAAAACTTTTAAGTCAGATTAAAATTTAATGGCTGGGCATGTGTATTTCATATTCTTTTTTTGACAAAGTTATCTCATACTTTTCAAAGTTTAACCCAGTCAAATTAGCCTTTCTTTAAGCTTAATTTGTAAAATGACATTTATATTGAACAAAAATATTTATGTTGATGGTAAGTGTTATATGTTTGCTTTGTTATGTATTATAGGGGATGGATTCCAGGAATGAAAGAAGGGTTTTTGAGCTAGTTGTACAAACAGCTTGTCTAGAAGCCACATCTCAATATTTTCTTCTCACTCCAAAAGTTAGTGTTTTACATTTCCTTATGGAAACATGTATGCATTTTATGAACTTGGAATGTAAGATTACCATGTTGATACTAAGGAGCAAAAATTTCGAACTCAAAATCAAGTGTCATAATGAATAGTCTGTTGTTAAGCAGGTTGCAAAAATATGGATTTTTTTCATTAATTCATTTGTTATTAGTCTTAGTATAAGAAATATTTTAAGTTTTATTAACAATTAGCAAATAATTTACAGGATGTATTTCAATATGAGATAGTTTAGTTTTCACTATGAAATTAAGAAACACAAGAATATTATAACTGGTTGTTAATCAAAATTTCCTGATCACGTTGAATGCCTAACATTTATTTACTGTGAAACCAGAGTTGTAGATTTGAGTCATGCAATTTTGACTCGAGTCGCAATTTGTTTTACTTGGGATTTGGACAAAAATGACTTGAGACTTGCCCATTACGACTTGTGAATTGTTGACAATCCATGTAAAAAAAATACATCCTTGAATTTTCTTGCAACAAACCTTTCCAAATGGACATCATGAACACACAATGTGATGTGTACATAAGCTCCAAAGTTCATGGGTCTAGGATAGAAACAAATTACTGTATGTGTAAATGTACCTGCAAACTGTTACAATCTCAGTGACATTGTCAAGAACACTAAAGATAAACAAAGTCCTCGCCCAGAACTTGGCTACTCACAGTGCATGTGCCTGGACTATGCATCATCATATGTCTCACCCTATTTCCCACCTTTCTTTAGAAAGTGCCACTGTAATATGTAGTTTTGTAATATTTTAGTCAGTGTCATGCATACAGATTGAGAAATGGGAAACAGTGGCTTGTATAAACACTAGTAGTGCTAGTAAAGTGCAGTCTCAAGTTTAAACATGCCTTTATGGTATCTTATGGGTCATTTCAATTTAAGAGATGTGATATTTATATTGTCTAAACAAAGCAAAAGAGTATTGAAGATCATCCCATGTCATATTATTAAATGTATTTATACATACTTCTGACTGAGTAAATTTATGGATACGAAATGTTTGTGATTGTATGTGCTGCATGGTTTTCTTAGCTAACATTTGTTTTAAAAGTGTTAGCTTTTCCATATTTGTAAAATATGGGGATCCAGTAGAGAGTTAAATGCACATAATAATCATTCTGTAGTAAATATTTAATATAAAGGTTGGCTTAAAACAAGATATCTAGTTCAGTGGAAAAACATTTAAAAATCATACTAGTAACGAGTACAGTTATCTAAATATATCATTCTTACATTCCTAATCATAAGTCCACATAATGAGCTAACAGTGCAAAATAATTGTTATAATAATATACAATAATAAATTATAATTGATAAAAATAAATGTATTAAATATTCTTACCAATAATTAAAGCAACACAAAAGAAAAAATATAGAGAGTTGAGTACATTATTTTAACAATTTTGAATATACAGATCAGCAAGTCATGTGAGAACCATAGCTAATATAAAGTCACAGTGGAACAGCATATATCAGAAGTACATTTTGACATGGCTTGTCATTTCATAGGTAGTTTGATACTACTGAAAATTGATTGATTTTAGGAAAAGAATTTGACAGTCGTTTTTTATATAAGCTATTAATACACTCAGATCAAAAAGATGTGTTCAGATTGGAGACATCTTTTCCAAGAGAGGGATATCTCATGTACTTAATGGCATTAGAAAACAAAGGAATATGGATTATCTTGGGGACCAAGACCATCCAGAAAGAGACCTGCAACAAGTCATACCATAGTCATGGAAACACATATAAAGGTCAGTAGCAAAAGGCATCTATGTAATAAAGGCAACAATACACAACATAATCAGGTATAATCTCTTCCTGGAAAAGCAACACAAGTCACATGTATACAATTTACTCCCACAACATATCCTTTCAACCTTTTTATACCACAAGCAGTTGGAAAATGAAATGGGTATTCATGTCATTTCTGACTTTAGATGCTGGTCAAATTACCAGATGCCAAGCCTATGAATTTCTGTGTGATTGGACTGTTGAAACTGGTGCTAGGAAATCATTATCTTCATACACTAGATGGTCTATGGAAAGCATGAAAGGAGGGGTGGTATACTGTAGATGTGAAAGCTCTATGACAGAGTCTTTTTACAGTGGAAACTACACTACAGGGCTATGTTCAAGGTGCATAACCCTCAGAGTAAACATGAGTGGGTCTGGTGACATGTATTGTAACAACATGATGGGACTCCAAGACTTTTAATATAATGTACTCAACTTCTGTAGAGTACAACTTATTTTCTAAGTTTGCTTTAGCTAACAATGCAAAATAATTGTAATAATGAATTTAGTAAATTATAATAAAGTGAATTAGTGTAGGTATATTAGACATTCTAACTGACACTGCAAACGAAAGTATCTGTGAAGAAAGAATGAACCTCACTTGCAGATCCTATCGATGATGAATTTGTATTTCATATAAAGTGAATTAGTGTAGGTATATTAGACATTCTGACTGACACTGCAAACGAAAGCAGCTGTGAAGAAAGAATGAACCTCACTTGCAGATCCTATCGATGATGAATTTGTATTTCATATACTATCGTAGATTTGATGTAACAGACTGTTTGTTTTAATAATACAGCTTATATATTTACCTCATACACACTTAGCTATGTTGTGTTTATATTAACTCTCTCTTGACAATCAAGCAAACTCTTTGATTTGATCCAGTGGTCAGCCAACTCATCATGCTTCTTCTTGCTATGCAGTGCACTAACTCAGGAAAGAAAAACAGATATATAAACTGAGGTGTATGAACACTTATGTAGAAATTGTGTGTCCAGGGAAATAAAACTTCCATATTTATGTTATGAAAACTTCTATAACTGTTATTTATTTAAGTTTGGCTTTGTACAAAGGATGTTATTTTAATTTTTTTTTTTTTTACTTTTTAGTTACTTCCTGACCTGGCCTATGCAGAAAATATGACAATCCTCTTTATTCATAATGGCCCAAAGATGTTGAACCATACTCAATGGAACTTACAGCAGTTTCTTCAAAGGCAGATTAGACTGACAGAATGAATTTATATTCTATAGTCCTCTAAACCCAGCAATAGGTTTTTGTATTTTCAGATATATGATTTATTTTAAACTACATGTAAAACTTTTATGAAAAAATATATATCTTTTGTATGTGTAATACCACAGTGTTTGTTATATTTAAGCTTTTGTCACAACCAACTCAGGTATGATTACTGGAATTGGAAATATGCTTTTATAAGTATTCTTTAATTTGGAATAAATCCCATTATTTTACAGTTTAAAGTACTTCTGATGAGGTTATTTTTTCATCCCATATGTTTGTCAAATTGCTCTGCACAGAATAATATGTTATTTGGTAACTTACCCCTGTTTGATCAGCAGGTATAACTGCATGCCTACTTAACAAGAGTTTTTAATGTGACTGCTTTATAAAGGGTGGTGACATAAAATACAAATCTTTAATGTTTACCAATCTCCTGTGTTCTTATTAATATTTAACCATTTAAACTAGATAAGAAATACAGATATTTTAATTACTTTTGAATAAGATAAAATAGAATGTATTTACATGAAGCATTTATCAAACATTTCAGAATCTTCAAAATTCCATTTTCAGTAATCTAGAGATACAAAATAAACACAATGGTAATTACACCAGAGATATGATATAATAAATAATAAGTAAACAATTTGAATACAAAAAGAACACAAGAAAATGAAAAGTATGTAGTGCAGAAGAAGTAGTTCATATTCAAATAGATTTAAATCAGATGAAGACTGTGTATTATTTAGAGACAGAAGTAGAGTTTTAATGTACAACATCTCTTTTTATTAGCAATTTGGTATCATGTTTAGCTGTTGAGAGGATTTTAAAGTTGGAGAGAGAAATTGGATGCCCTATTTCAGTATTGTGTTGGTAGATAATGGAGTTGAGAGGGCTTACCAGTTTTTATAGATATATCCATATATTCAAATGCCTCTTATATTGGTGAAACTAAGCATCACAGTCCAGCATGGCCAGATGGTTAGGGCACTTGACTCGCAACCTGAGGGTTGCAGGTTTGATTCCCTGTCCCACCAAACATGCTTGCACTTTCATCTGTGGGGACGTTATTATGTGATGGTCAATCCCACAATCATTAGTAAAAGAGTAGCCCAAGAGTTGACAGTGGGTGTTGATGACTAGCTGCTTTCCCCCTAGTATTTCATTGCTAAATTAGGGACAGCTAGTGAAGATAGCCCTTGTGTAGCTTTGCACAAAATTCAAACCAAACTATAAAGAAAAAAAAAGAGGTAATTTAGATTTATTTCCTATTTTTTATGGTGGTTACAAGGTCATTCAAATCTGAAAATATTGTCCTTATTTCAATTTTACGTAATAACTTTATGAAAGTGAAAACCTAGATGGGAGTCAATTTCTGATCTAAAATTTATTTGCCATATTGTCACACTATTACATGCTCAAATTAGTTAGTATAAAAATGTATAATCTCTGACAAAACTTGAATAGCAAATTAGCACATTTTATCATGAGGAGCTAATTGAGTTGCTGTTTTTAGTGCAAATGTAAAGAATGTCTGCACTCTATCAACTACAATGAATCGAACCTCGAATTTTAGTGTAAACTTACCACTGACCCATTAGAGTACAGGTAATTAAGGACTGTTTCAACTGAAAGTATAATATAATGCTCTACATTAAGCTTCAAATTAGTTCAAAAACTAAAATGTTTAGAAATCTTCAATCACAATTGCAAAGACTTTTCCAATTTATCGAAACATTAAAGTTATTTTATATAATAAAAACGTATGAACTTATTATCCATTACTACATCAACTATTAAGTAAGGGTAACCTGTAATCTGGATTGGAAACCTAAGAATCACCATAGTATAACAAAATTAAAATTACTCTGAAAGAACCAGTTGAGAAGTCCAAGCACGAAATTTCTAACATAGTGACATATTCTTTATAAACTAATTTTTGTTTCAAGCAGAAATATTTATAACGTAGTTAGTTAAGATGTTTAATGTCTGAGCAAAGCACAACATCTACACTAATATTTCATCGTTTTTTCTTTAATCAACCATACTAATACATAATGTTCTGTACTTAATGAAGGTTAGAAAAAATGTGATTCAAATTAACCAAATCATATACATATCATCACTTAACACTTTGAAATCCTAACTTGTAGAGTTCACTTGTACTGTTTTAAATAATAGCAACAAATAAAACAAAGTAATAATGGGGGTGTTAAGAAAAACAACAAAAACTTAATTTTTATATATAAACATACTTGAGAATATGAACCATGAAGATGATGATTCTTAATACAAGATTCTCATCAGTCAAAAATAACTGTACACCTTCCTCCATTGAGAAATGTTTGACTTGGCACTTATGGAGCATTTTCTTTAGTTTCTCTCACTGGATCCTTGACTTGTGGAATTCTTATTTGAAATATATATATGTGTGTGTGTGAAAAACTAGTCTTACAAAACAATATTTTAAAGTACCTTACTTAAATGTTTAAATCAACCAGTTATTTCATTTTTATGGAACTTTACATGCAATAATTCAACTGTCATTCAACTTGTATTAGGTCGCAAGAAATAATTGTCGCTTTTTAGATGAAAAAACCCGAACAATTTATATATATCAAAACAAAACATTTATCAAATGAAATAGACTCCATTCTTATCGATGATGCTTTTCCTTCTTACAATCAGGTTGTTAA